AAGAGTTTTTCAATCAGTGTTGGAAAAACGATAAATATGGGTTCGCAGTGATATGTACGGATTTTGATCGTGATAGTGGTCGATACAGGTATAGGTTTGACACGTACGTTACAATATGAACACCGCCGCGGCCGACAAGGAACGACGTTCGATGGAACTGTTGGATCAAGCCCGGGACAACGTCAGACAAAAATATGCAGAATTACGTCGTGGTGAGTCAGAGTCGTTGACTCACATTCAGAAAAAACTAGCACCAATAATCGAACCACGGAATAGGATATCCGATGTTGTTAATGTGCAGCAGCAGCATCATCAGAAACAATCGCAAGAAAATGACTATTCAAAGTTATATTTTGCACATCTTATAGAACAGTGGACAAAAAATCCATTGAGAGATAAACAATACGGTCCTAGAATGCATATGGACGGTAAACTGAGCATGGGTAATGCAAACGATATAACCGTAGACAGTTACTTTATTCGTGTAAATGGAACAAAACACCAATTGACGATTGGACTAGTGAATTTGTTGTTTTCGAAAAACCCCGTTGCGTTCACCGACGAAGATTTGGAAAAGTACAAGACAATATTGGAGGAAACCAGAGCTCATCTAAACAAAAATATGACATTGAAAAAGGGGGGTGCTAAATACAATGAAGTTATCGAGCCAATGTTCAGCAGCGTAGGATCGGGACTACAGCTGAGAGTTGGTGAAAAAAAAGATTACTTATACTGGGACGATCCCAATGAACTTGTCGAACGTTTGAAGCTGCTCATATCGGCTCAGTCGGCTGGCAACACTGGAGTGTCACCCGAGATTGTTTCCATACTAGAAGAACTTTACGAAGCCGGGCACATTGCCGACATACCGTCTACATTATGAAACCGAAAATTGCGTACGAACTACATCGACCTGCCCGGAGAACGTACACTCGAACACGGGTAAACATCAAAGGACTCGATGACATATGGCACGCGGATCTTGTAGAAATGGGAGCGTACGCAGATCGTGGTTACCGATACATTTTAACGTGCGTGGACGGGTTTTCAAAGTACGCGTGGGCCGTACCGTTAAAGAGTAAAACGGCCCTGAACGTGACCATAGCAATGTCGGGTATTCTCGAACAGGGTCGCCATCCAAAGCTGATGCAAACCGACCGTGGTACAGAGTTCTACAACCGACATTTCCAAGCGTTGATGGACCGTTACGGGATCCGTCATTATTCAACATTTACCACGATGAAAGCGTGTCTTGTGGAACGCTTCAATCGCACACTGAAGACGGTCATGTGGCGTGATTTCACTACGCGTGGGTCGTACAAATGGGTAGTCAGGTTGCCTGCACTTGTCTACGATTACAATAACAATCACGTACACAGAACAATCGGAATGACATCCGCACAAGCTGTTGGGAATCCTAGTGCAGTACGCATTAAATTACGAAAAATACCCGATAATTTACCGATCAAGTTTCGAGTGGGCGACAAAGTGAGAATAAGCAAAACGAAATCCGTGTTTGACAAGGGCTATTTGGCCAACTGGAGCACCGAGTTGTTCACAGTGACCAAGGTCAAACGAACAGTACCGCCAACATATTATCTGGAAGATTACCAGGGGAACCCCATTCAGGGTGTATTTTACACCGAAGAGTTGAGCAGGACGCAGTATCCGGACACGTATTTAGTGGAACGGGTGTTACGCACACGCGGAGACCAGTGCTACGTTAAGTGGTTGGGTTTTGGCCCGGAACACAACTCATGGATACCGAAAGCAGATTTCTCACGGCAATGATTGTCGACATTCAGGGCCTGGTGGCTGCCACCGACCATTCGTTCTTGGTAAAAGAAATGACCGCCATAGACCTGGAGTCCATGTCTATGGCCCACTGGATGTTCAAACACCCAAACATGATCAAGGACGATGTGAAAACCACTTACTGGCTAAAAAAGTACCATCACGGCTTGGACACGAACATTGGCGACGTCGAATACACTGAACTACCGAGAATAATGTCGTTGTTACGGTGCCATACTATCTACGTGAAAGGCGTGCAGAAAAAACAAGTATTACAAAAATATTTACCCGGACAGAGGGTAGTCGAAATAGAAGAAAACTGTCCACCACTGTGGAAATTATGTGTGGAATTCCAACCACGTTGTATTCGTCACATAAATAATCATAAAATGTGTAGCTTGTATAAAGCAATGTGTTTGAAACAATGGTTAACGGATAATTCGTAATTGTTTTATTTACATATTATTATAAACATTGGTTAAAAAATTACAAAAAATGTATCGATTTATTTTATTAAATAAAACTAATGTACAATTTTGAGTTAATTTGTTTCTTCGTCGTCGTCGTCGTCGTCATTGCCTAGAGAATAATGCCCCCACGCTTTTGTATACACGTCCTTGTACTCTCCTTCGTCACCAATTAACGCCCGCTTATCGTAGTTGTTGTTGTTGACCAACGCGAGTTTATTAATTTCAACTGTCGAAACACTATGGTGTTTCGTGCGTATTACGGACATTTTCCTACGGGTTTGCTTGAGTTTACCACGCAAGCAATTCAAATAGTCAACCATTTTGATTTCATGTTTCACCACACCCGTGCTCATGCCTTTCAATCGCTTCACCTCGTCCGTTTGCCACGTAACCAACAACCTATCGTAGTAATTTTGTATAGCGATTGAATAAGCGTACACTTTGGGTAACAATGCGATAATTTCTTGCATATGCTTACCCTTACATTCATCGCTAAACGTGCCCGGTTGNACATTCATCGGTAAACGTGCCCGGTTGTTTTTTTCGTCGATCGGTGTAACAAGGGTGGTCGATCGGGTAATTCGACGTGTCGAAATATTCGAGTAAGTACTTTTTCAAATCATCGTTTTCCACGATGATTTGAAAAAGTACGTTTTACAGTTGGTCGTTATCAGGTAAATGAAACTATCGGTGTCCATGTAACAGAGTAGGAGTCGCTCGGGTCCGTACAACGGCATCATAACCTCGTAATGGAACTTGTACATTATGCATTTACTTATATCCAATATGGCCTGTCCAATAAAAATGGGTTTATAAAAATTAATCTTCTCCTTGTACATGTGCACAGCAACCAGATTTTTGTTGAATACGGTGGTGTGACTAAACGACGGTTTTGCCGCTAACCTCGACAGTTTCTTCAGGTTGCACACGAGTTGTATGTTTTGGTGTTTCCGTACGTTCTCCAATGTTTTTCCTGTTGAACGCGAAACAAATAAGTTAAAAAAAATACAATTAAATTTTGGAAAATTAATTATATGTTACCATAGTTTGAGTTGATCATCAGTTTGGCTATGTTTTGTCCAAACGTGGTGGTCGCTTTTTTACGCAATTCCGTGTTCAACTGAATGTACGGTGCCAACCAGCGGGATTGCATAAATTTTATACATTTATGCAGTTTTGTTACGACCACACCGTGTTTCACAGCTAGTTTTAGTGCGCGGTAGTGCACGATATAACCACGTTTTGGTTGTAACGTGGTCATCAACTTGCTGTGTTTCGAAGACGACAACGGTGATCGCTCGTTTACCGGAAAAAATGGTAAATCATTGTGTAAATCGTGCAATTCACGGGGATAATGTGCATCGATTTTCAGCAGGTATCCGTAATCACCGTCGTCCGGGATGTTCAGTACTTCTTCCAGCGTTGCTGGAATAAAACCATCATTCATTACTCCCCGGTCAAAAGCTGTGCGATTTCGAAAAATTTTCAAATTTTCGTCGATTTCTAAAAAACATAATACTCCAGTACTTTCCATATATTCAACCAGATTTTCTATATTATTGACACTTTTTGGTAATTTCATTTTGAATAACTAAAATGATTGTAAACTTATANGTAATTTCATTTTGATTAACTAAAATTATTGTAAACTTATAAGTACATTTTGAACTGATTAGTGATAGATAATAACTTACTTTTGATTAAATACACGAAAACAGATACACTTGAAAAAGATTCTGGAACGGTTTTATTGAATATATTTAACCTAAAAATTTGTGTTTATATTACTTAAAACACTATAACTTTAGTTTTAATCATACATTAGTTGTGCAGACTACAATTGTGTCACAAAAAAATTTTAAAACTGGTTTGAATAAAATAAATTACTTTAGATTATAATAAAAAAAAATGTATATAATAAATAAATTTTTTGGCAAATTTTCATAAGGTTATCGATTTTTAAAATAAATAAATACATGAAAGGGTTAAAAAACAAATAAATGACTACTAAAAAAGACGAATGAAAATTTTATTTGCACAACAAATGTAATCAATAACGTAATTTTATCATTCAATGCAACAAGTACCATATATATATATTTTTCTTTTTAATTACAATAAACAAATTTAATTAATGAAAAAACTTTTTGAAATTTATAAGTAATATAGATTATTAAAAATAAATAGATGCATTGAACGTGAAAGATATTATAACAATTTAAAAATTTTACTTACAATTTAATAACTGTTGAAAAATGCACAGGAATAGCCATGAAACACAGTTGTAGATATAGATGAAAAGAACCATAAAAACACCAATAAGTGAATGAACAGATAAAGGGTTATTTCTACAGTTATATAGTAAAATTTATATTTTAGGCACAATATAGTCAATTGTTTGGGATAAAAGTCCCTAGGAATTCAATATCTTACTAGTGGGGATCACTAAATAGCTTACATGGATATTACTGTTTATTTTACACAATGTTGTAGATAGCAAAGTAAAACGTATTTTAACGATAAAAAACGTATAGAATATTTACTGGATGTAAGGGTTTGAGTGTAAAAGAAAAAACAAGCGAGATTAGCAATATTTTTGTTAATTTTCATTTATGTTAGAAAATAATTACATATATACACATAATTCGAACACAATAAAGCTGATAAAGTCACACGTGTCTGTTTTTTTTTTTTTTGTAGATTTGGACGTTTGTGAATACAAAAACCCTCTTATATTATAGAAATTATAAATTTAGTAGTATATTATGTTTTTTACTAAATCGAAAATTGATATTTTTATTTATTACACACTGTATCTTTTATACAGTTTCATATAACACACAAGATACAATATTAAAAATCTTTATTTATTTTTCAAACTACAATACTATATAAGAATAACAAATAATAGTAGTCTTATTTCGTTATTTTATTATTTTGGATAAATAACTGTCCCTTACATAACAATACATGAGTACAGCTAGGAGACCAACGTACGTGTTCTACCCATGGGTCGTCTTCATCATCCCAATCTTTCAAACCTTGACTGCAGCAATAACATAACATTTGATCATTTTGTCCATTACCTAAAAATTATATACACTTATAAATAATGAATTTGAATAAATGTACCAATCATAATAATGCATTCAATACTGAATAGTCCCATACCTATGTATAAAAATCCAGCATCACAAAGTCTTGATATTTTTGATTCCAATTTTTTTGGACAGTTTTCAAAAGTCTTTAAACGAGTGTTATAATCGGCAAACTCTTTGTGTTTAGGGAGTTTAATTCTAGTCTGCTGATCATTAGACGTCGAACAGTAAAATCCACAAACATCATATCCTAAACGAGAAAAATGGAAAAGTATTTTCACGTAAAATTAGTTTCGTTTGTCATATCATACAGTTTTTATTTCTTACCTGAATTTTCATTGAGACGATTTTCATACGCATTATACGTTTCTTTTCCACTATACATTTTGGATCAAATACACTTCGATTGTAAACGTATGACCGTACACCGAACAACAACGTAAGTCGTAAACAGGGGAATGATTAAACTGAGCAAATTAATTTTAGAAGGACCTTAACACGAACCAAAATGATTTGTGTGTAAAAAACACGACCAAAAAAAAAAAACATTTTGTTAACTTTGTATAAAAAATTATCATGGTCTGATTTTTTTGGTAGATATCAACACGTATAAATACTACAATTCTCTTAGATTTTTTGAAAAATCTATTAGTGTATTAGTATAGTACAGTTTCTACATTTGTAAAAATGTAACTATATTTGTAGTACAATATCAGTTAATTTATTTTATTTTGTTTGTCAGCATTTTGGTTAAATAACACACGTTGACATTCATATGCATGTTCGTTCTACTGTTTCGATACGTTTTTCCAATATAAAAACACGATCTTCGATTGTTATGTAATCTCGACCGAGAGCGTCCAAACGATTAGTCATTACAAACAAATTATTTTTTAAATTGTCAATGTCATCCGCATCTTCGTATCCACTATCGCTGTCGCTACTGTTTACAATCTGATATCTGCTGGTGTCAACGGTTTGTGTGAAATGCAGCAAAATCAAAAAGGTTGTTGCAGCCGTTATACAAAAAAATAATCCGATACGCGAAGCGTCCATCTGTTTAATATGCTCCCACAACGTTTCAATGGTTGTGCTGCCGCTTACACTGTCCATTATGTTTGGTGTACAGGTCACTCGTAAATACGTGGTAAATATTTCGTGCGATTGACGTCCACCTCGGATGGATACTACATTAATATTGCAGTCTCAATTGTCACCTTTGCTATAGATATGTGTTCAAAAATGAGATTTATTTTACTATACATAACACATTAATTTAAAAATCAACAAGCGACGGCTATTTGTACTGTACAAATAGTATGCATCAATAAAAAAAAAAATCCAGCACAGGGGGGTCGCGGCACAGTGGTGACGTGGTATAGATGGATCAAGTATAATGATATCTGACAGTGATTAAAATCACTATCAAAAAAAAAAACGCTTCGATGCAAATCTTTAGATACTGTTTAATTTTAAAAAATTGGTGGACTATTCCAAAAGCTACATGATCTGCTAGTTCATTATTAATATCCTAATTAAGATAAAGTATGTAGAATGAAAAAGGGATTATTAAAAAATATTATTTCTCATAAAAAAATAATGTTGATCCATACACTTTTCAATATGTCATAGCATTATAAAGTTAAAAATGTAAAAAATAAAATCGAGAATTTTCACACAATAATAGCATTCGGTAGCCATTTTCACCGTGAAGATAAAATAAAGTCCGAAATTTTTTTTTCGCATAATAAAGTAAATTACATTAGCTTTAATTTAAGATAAATATAAAAGTGTCAGACTTTCCGGAACACTTTCAAAATTTAAGTTGAAAAAGTAAATTTTTTGTGAAATAGTGGTAATTTTAAATCCCCCCCTGTGGGCAGGTAAAGGGTCAGATATAAAAAAAATATATACCAAATGATAGGTAAAGACATCATGCATCTATTAAAAAAAATTTATATTGATCCATACATCTTTCAAAAAGTTATAGCATTATAAAGTTAAAAATATAAAAATGAATTTTTTTACAAAAATCGTATTTTTTTTATAAACTTTGATGTCTGTTTTCACCATGAAGATAAAATAAAGTCCGAAATTTTTTTTTTGCATAATAAAGTATATTACATTAGCTTTAATTTAAGATATATATAAAAGTGTCAGACTTTCCGGAACACTTTCAAAATTTAAGTTGAAAAAGTTCTACTTTCTACATGCATTTTTTAGATTTGAACCCCCCTCGAATATAGGAAAATGGTCGGATTTAAAAAAACAGTATGTCAAATAAAAGATGTATATAAATACTACTCCTCATGAAAAAATTGTACTGATCCATACATTTTTCAAAAAGTTATAGCATAATAAAGTTAAAAAGGTAAAATACAAAATCGAAAATTTTCACACAAAAATAGCATTCGGTAGCCATTTTCACCGTGAAGATAAAATAAAGTCCGAAATTTTTTTTTTTGCATAATAAAGTATATTACATTAGCTATAATTTAAGATATATATAAAAGTGTCAGACCTTCCGGAACATTTTCAAAAGTTATGTTGAAAAAGTTAATTTTTATTGAAAAAGTTGTCATTTTAAATCCCCCCTTGTGGGTAGGTTAATGGTTAAATTTATGAAAAAAATATACCAAATGATAGGTAATGATATTATGCATCTATATAAAAAATAATTATATTGATATGTTTATTTTTGAAAAAGTTACGGCAGTTTTTAGTAAAAAAAATTGAAAAAATTTCGAAAATTAGCGATTTTTAAATTTGTAATTTTTTTGGAGGTTTCCCCCCTTTACGGGGAACGAGGGCATTTTTTTAAATTTTTGAGGGTAATGTCTTTGACTAGATACAATTTGTGATCTTTTGACGTATCATTGAAAGAAATTGGTTCGATGAGAGCTGAGAAAAAGTGGTAACAGACACAAAAAAAAAAAA